ATCGAAAAGATTCGCCGCGCTGCAGAGCAAGAACGGGCACAGCTCAAGGTCGAGTTATCGCAGAAGTTACAGGAGGAGCGGTCTCAGCGGTTGGCATCAGAGTCGCATGTCCAAATATTGGAATCTCAAGTCCAACAGGTACGGCTGGCAAATTATACGCAACATACGAATGCTACTAACCTCTATCTAGCTTCGACGCGAGAGAACGGATATGTCTGATTTGTCGTCAAAAAACAAGGAACTGGAGACCGCACTGGAAAATACCAAGCGAAAGCTGCTTGAAGAGCGACAATCCAAAGATAACTTCGAGGACCTACTTACCGCCATGCGAGTAGAGTTGGAACAGTTGCGTAATGATCGAGATCATCTTCGAGATGACAACAGTCTCGTGGAGGAAATTGAAGCTTTAAAAATCGAAAATGCCTCTTTGGCTCAGCTACAGGGCGGACGATTCGCTTCGATCGCCGAGGAAGGTGGCTCACCTAGGAACTCGGCATTTGGAGTATCACGATCGAGCTCCATTGCACGCAAGCCCAGTGGCCTAGCTCGCTCGGGTTCGCTTTCTCGGTCTAATTCGATCAATAATAACAGCGGTGGGAAATCACCAGAAACACGTGAATCGTTGGTTGATAAGGTTCACGATATCGAGGTTCAACGCGATGCCCTCCACCGGACATTGCGGAGCCTCCTCGATCGCCAGGCATACCAGGCTCGCGAATACGAGAAGCGTACTCGTATACTCGAAATGGAGCTTGCTCGAGCCCAGCAATCGGGTCAGCCACGGAAATTGGGCTACGAGAGAGACGTGCGCAACCTGCGTGACGAGGTGAATCATCTCCGCATGCGCGCTGAGGACGCCCTAGATGGCAAGTGGCAGTGCGAGAAGAATCTCGCTGGTCTCAAGATGGACTTGGACCGTGCCGAGCAGGAGACCAGCTCTCTACGCGCGCTTCTTCTGGAGGACACTACCGCCGGTGCAGAGTTGATGACCGGTCAAGAAGGCTTCGCTGAGGTCGTGACCACATCTTCTTCCCTTCAATCTGCATTCCAGCAATTGCAGGCGGATCGAGCTGAGGCCGAGGCGGGTGTTGCGGATTCGGAAGAACTCGCTTCCTCCCTTGCCCGGACTGAGGCACTGGGAAGCAAAGTCGATTACCAGCTTCAGAACAACACCTCCTTGCATGCCCGTTTAGCAGCGGCCATTGATAAGGGTGACAAAGATCAGCAAATCTCGGTTGAACGGATTAATATCCTGCAGAACCACATGAGGGAGCTGGAGGAAGTTCTTCTGGTTGCGCAAAACCACTCCGAAGAAGAGATGGGCAAGCACGAGGACGAGATTCGTTTGCTAAAGGAAAGCCAGCATGCCCAGCTCACTCGGATGATGAATGGCGGACGCAACACAGTCGGCCTCTCCCCGCGGCCGCCGAACGCACCATTCGATTCTCGCTCGCCGCGTTTGGACCAGACCACGAGCGGAGAGGGTGTACCCTTGACCGTGGTTGTCCAGTCCGAAGTCCTCGAGCGACGAGTCAAAGATCTCGAGAAGCTCCTCCGTGATGCGGATATGGAGATGGAGCAAGTGGTTGGACGGATGAACCGTACGCAGATCGATGTGGCTCAGCTTCAAACTGACAGGTATGCAACTCATGTTTCGTCTCATATTCCTTCTTTTCATCCCATCTCTTACTAACTCACCCCACAGAGACGATGCTCTCCGCCAGACCCGCCAACTCCAGACCGAGATCCAAGCCGAGCGTGACGCCCTTAGAGGGCTCATCAACGCCCTGTAAATTTGACAATCTCGCGCTTTGTCCTTTCCTACCACCTTACTATACCACGTCTGCATTTGCATTTGCGCTCCCATCGCCCGTGATGGTAGAGTACAATATGGAGTTAGCCCGGAGTCCCGGGTTTTTGTTTTGGGTTCTTTTATGAAGACTATGCGTGTGGTATCACGCTGACCTCTTCCCTAACTTGGGCTTGGGGCGTTTTGTCTTTTACACTCACGAGACTGGTGGTTGACTGTTGTTGGTCGCTTGTATATAGAAACCGTCTCTATTAGGGTAAATATCTAATCTACTGTACAGTATTATTTGTGATCAATCTGGTATTCATGAAATACATCGAGATTAGCTGAGAGTAATGTATAAGTGAGATTAATGTGCGGTCCAAATAACTAGAGCATCCCTTCACATGCAACGTTTGTTTGTTTTGCATCCTCTTATCATTCGGGTGCCACCGCCGCAACTTGGAAACACCTTGAATGTCACATTCGCTTCTTGGCATATCATTGATCGCATCGGAATATATACCTTCAGAAACAACCTCTCCTAGCCTCCGCTCAAGCCGACCTCTAACACATCTCACCAGACCCCTCCTCGGCCTGGTCGCATTGCTCGACTACGAACAACGAGCTCCAGCACGACCAAACAAAGCGCACTCGAGTCAAAGAAGCAACGCTTTTGAACATTGAAAAGCCGGGATATTCTTTCCCTACGTCACATCGGCGGCCCCCTCGAACATATCCATTCTCAAGGGTCACAAAGACAAAAGGTCTCAAACAAAGCGCCGGCGAGCCAAAGAAAACCACGTACCTGACACGCGAGGACCATCTCTCTCTCTCTCTCTATCCCTTGTCTCTCCCCCGTCGACCACTTCAAGATACAACGATCATGGACTTCCTACCAGGTATCTATCTCACCTATCCTCCAGCCATATAGACACAAATACCGCAACGCAAAGTCTACAAGCTAACCAAACATCCACGGACACAGAAAACTTCCAAACAGTCCTCCAAAATCCCACCTTCACCTACCTCCAAACAACGGCACAAGACCATCTCACAACAAAACTCTCGCACCTACGCACAATGGTGCTCCAACCATACATAATCGAGCCCGTCTCGAGTTTCCTCGCCTCCTACTCCACCTCCATGCCAGACCTACTCTCAATATTCCTCCTCGCCATAATAATCCTCGTCTCCCTCAAGATTCTAGACTACGCCTACCGCGTGGTCGTATTCTGGGTCACCCTCGTCTTCAGACTTGTCTTCTGGGGCTCGATTCTCGGCCTCGGGTATTACGTCTACAGCATTGGTATTGAGAATGCCGGCAGAGATTTCGGGTGGCTTTGGGGTGTGGTATATGGGTTTGTGGGCGATTTTCAGGAAAAGAGCAAGACCGCTGCTGCGGCTTATGCTGGGAACCCTAAGTAGGGTGGTTTGGTTTGGTTTGTTGAATGGAAACTGTGTGATGAGAATTGAGTCAGAATCCTCGGCTTGTTAATGTCTTTCTTCGTGGCTGGTATGCCTGTTTGGGGGTATATGATGAAAATGCGCAATGGGTCTGTCTATTTCTTTACTTTACTTCATCCTGCTAAATTGGATGGCTGTTTTTGGAGTTCTAGACATAACAATATTCATGAATTGATTTTGGTTTCATTATGGTTTCATTATAATTTATATTAACTGAGGATATGACACAATATCCATTAGCAGCGTAGAAAGCTCCCAACTCTGACTCTGGTAGCCTCGGCCGTGGTTGTGTCGTAAGTCACTCCGGCGCGACAAGAATATTGGAAAGTCTTTCCAATATTGTAAGGTCCATCAGCCGGACAATAGCAACATGAGATGAAAAGTGGGCTTTGTCTCAAATTCCTCCGCTGCCAGAGACTCGAGGCTGCTGCATGGGGTGGCATTGGGTGAAGTGGTCGGTCGTGGGGGTCTTGAATGTGCAGGAATTTGACTACAAGTCACAGCACTGCAGTAATCACGCGTGATATCCCTCAATCCTCATAGTTTACCTCAACTTCATCCTTAGGTTCTCTTGGTTCCTGGGCCTCATGGTACTGGATAGCATCGTCGATGTGGCTCACAATCGCCGCGACGCTGTCCTCATCGGAGACATCCAATTGTAGGAAGGAAACCATACTGAAATCATCGATCAACTGTCCGACAGCCCGGTTGAGCTGCTTGAAAGATCCGCCGCTCATCAAGGAGTCCGCGGCCATGGGGTTGGCACCTGCGGTGAGATCATCCTCTTCCTTCTCTTGCAGCAATTGCACATCCACGTTGGTGAACCGTTTCAATTCCCGGCGTGTCACCATATCGCGGACCTGGTCCATCTTGCTGAGAATGTTGACGTGTGGCATCTCCATCATCAACATGGCGGACATGGCACTGAGTGTACCGGCGAAGAATTTAGCTTTGTCGATGACGAAGGTGCTTTCGAGTAGATAGGCGGCACACATGTTGATATTCAATGGGCCTTGTCGGGAGAGGAAGGTTGTCAGGGTGGGTAGAAGAGGAATATGTGTGTACAGCTCGATTTGTCCGGGCATATCGAAGATGATCAAATACTCTTCACTCAATGGCTCCAGTGCCTCTGATAAGAATTCCAGGTTCTGGAGTAGAAACTCAAAACAGTAGATGAGACCTCCATTTGGCCCCAGGCCCATCTCTTCCATCACGTCTTCCAAAGTGATCAGGTCCCGAATGTCGAGATCTGGTTCGTAGGCGAATGTCTCGGCCGCGGGGTCGAGGTTCACGTAGAAACAGCTGCGGCGGGTGGTTTGAAGGTGTTGGATTATGGCATTGCTGAAGGTTGTCTTGCCTGCACCCGCAGGGCCCATTACCAGGACACCGAATTTAGACATTGTGTATCCAATAGAAAGTACAAAAAGAATGTCAATGTTCTATCTTATCGCAAGAAAATTCCAAGGCTTGTAATCTGCCCGAAGTCACCGCCCCCAAATGGCGCGATCACGGGCGGACAAGGGACAGGAAGTACCGCGTACGGAGTACAATGAGGGTACTTCGGTAGTACCTGCATGTGGCCCACTCACACTATCTTTTCTCTGGTACCGCCAAAGTAACTCGGAAAAAAAGCAAAAACCCCCACCAAATTCCCCCTCCCCGAGAGATCTTCCTCTCTTTCCTCCTCCCTCCATTCCTCTTTCCCTCCCTTTTGTCAATTCCTTTTCCTTCACACACAGTCACAATGGGTTCTGTTTCAAACAGCGGCACTTTCCTCTTCACCTCCGAGTCTGTCGGTGAGGGTCACCCCGATAAGATTGCGTGAGTTATATCCCCTGAAAACTCTCACCTTTGCTCTCGGAGTGTTATTAAATGGGGTTTACATCAATTCCAATTGTCACAAATGTATTAATTTTTCCAATAGTGATCAGGTTTCTGATGCCATCCTCGATGCCTGCCTTGCTGAGGATCCCCTCTCCAAGGTCGCTTGCGAGACTGCCACCAAGACCGGTAGGTTGACCAGGATTACTTGAGGCCAGATCTCAATCTGACATGTTACATTAGGTATGATTATGGTCTTCGGTGAGATTACCACCAAGGCCCACCTGGACTACCAGAAGATCATCCGTGGCGCTATCAAGGACATCGGTTACGATGCCTCTGAGAAGGGTTTCGACTACAAGACCTGCAACGTCTTGGTTGCCATCGAGCAGCAGTCCCCCGATATCGCTCAGGGTCTTCACTATGAGGAGGCTCTTGAGAAGCTCGGTGCCGGTGACCAGGGTATCATGTTCGGCTATGCCACCGACGAGACCCCTGAGCTCCTGCCTTTGACTGTCATCTTCTCTCACAAGCTTAACGCTGCCATGAAGGCCGCCCGTGTTGATGGCTCCATCCCCTGGTTGCTCCCCGATACCAAGACCCAGGTCACCATTGAGTACGCCCACGACAACGGTGCCGTCAAGCCTCTGCGCGTTGACACTGTCGTCGTCTCCGCCCAGCACACTGACGATGTCTCCACTGAGGAACTCCGTGCTGTCATTAAGGAGAAGATCGTTCGCAAGGTCATCCCCGCCGAGCTCCTCGATGATCGCACTGTCTACCACATCCAGCCCTCCGGCCGCTTCGTCATCGGTGGTCCTCAGGGTGATGCCGGTCTCACTGGCCGTAAGATCATCGTCGACACCTACGGTGGCTGGGGTGCCCACGGTGGTGGTGCTTTCTCCGGAAAGGATTACTCCAAGGTCGATCGTTCCGCCGCCTACGTTGCGCGCTGGATCGCCAAGTCTCTGGTCAACGCCAAGCTTGCCCGTCGTGCCCTCGTCCAGCTCTCCTACGCCATTGGTGTCGCTGAGCCCCTCTCCATCTTCGTTGAGAGCTACGGTACTTCCTCCAAGACCTCCGACGAGCTGGTCCAGATCATCCGTAACAACTTTGATCTCCGTCCCGGTGTCATCGTGAAGGACCTTGACCTGGCCAAGCCCATCTACTACCAGACCGCCAAGAACGGCCACTTCACCAACCAGGAGTTCTCCTGGGAGTCCCCTCGTGCCCTCAAGTTCTGAGCGGGCTCTGCTTGATCCGGTGACTCCGGACAATTTTTGACGACTGTGATGATTTGCTTTGTTTTCAACAACTCAAAGCACGATGAGCATAGACTATAAAAAAACCCCTCATAAAATCCAGAAGTTGGTTTCCTGCTGGAGACCAACATCTCTTGTTTCATTATCTGCATGGTCGCGCAAATGACGGGCCTTTTCGGCGAAGACAAAATTCAACATGATACCACTTTTCATCGGCTGGGAAAGGAAGTTTTTGGCGTTTTTCTGGAGCGATAGTCTTCAACACCATATCTCTACCTCACTGTCCATGGTCCCTACCGGGAGATTTTGGTCCTGCTTCCACGGCTGGATCATGCTCTATCGGTTTCGAGGGGAACTTCACGGCACTCTCTGTGAGAGTGTCTGCAGGTTCTTTTCGTCTTGGGTCCTGGGCCTGCTAATCTAAACATTGGCGATAGATTCATAATATTCTTCATATCTTTTTTGGACATATGGTTTTTGGTAGTACACCAGTAGCTTACATATAGGTGTTTTGTAACGTGACTCAATCTAAGAAAGCAAGTTCAACATCTAGACGAAAGCCTTGCTACAAACACTCTTCGACTACTTCATTAAAATCAATTAAGTGTTACATTGGTCCAGGCGGCGTGCACGTCCCGACGCGTGACGACAGACCCGCCAAGATTCGAGCGCGATCTTGTCGACATCTGCACAACCAACGTCAATTGCTTTGTTAGTTTAGCATAGGACTCGACTATTGCGTTCAAATTACAGGATGCCCACGATTTCCTAGACGCGACCATGGCCTCGCGTGTAGTCCCGAACATCCTGGATCCGCTCAGTTCATCCGCGCTGAACAAACTCCATGAACCGACCCCTCCACCCATAAAGAAGCGAAAAAGAGGCGATCAAGAGGAGCTAAATGATACTGCTGGACAGCTTGCTACCTCTTCCATCGTCATTAGGGTGAGTTGTGTCTATAATTAGCCCAGTGTACGCTTAATCCATTGGTTGCTGTTGCTCACTCTCCGCAACTTGTATAGGCTCACTCGGCGTCTTTATCCGATGAACCCTTAATTCTCGAACCAATTACTGCCCTCCCCCGCACAAGGCTGCCCCTTTCATGGCTTGATGACACGCCCGCCTCCCGATCCGACGAGCAACCAGGCGGCCTTTTCACCGCGGACATCCCCACGCTGGAAGTTGACCTGCGCGCAAAGACGGAACCAACTGTCCTCGCTGTGCGCCTGATACCCAATGGCGGGCTGTATATTATCGAGAGAGTCAAGAGGGGCTTATACTCGCTCTCCAAGCTTGCCCGATGGATACACGAGGGCAATCTCGTTTTTGCGGCCAAGGGGTGGCATGGAACTGATGCGGAGGTGGATGGCGTGGCTGTCGATGAGACAGGTGCTATTCCTGATGGATTTGACTGGTGGCAGGTTGCTCAAATCGATGAAGCCCTCTCTGACCTTGAGATGGGCGAAAAGGATGCTGGGCTGGACATCGCGGTTATCTTTGGTCCGTCTGAGTCTGATCTCGGGAATATTGAGACATCCTTTGTGGGCGTTGTAGAGCACCGGAGTAATTCACTTGCTCCGTCGAGGAGTTTCGATGCCGCTGAGGGGGGTTCTTTCTTGCTTCCTGAATCTCAGGGCTTGGGGGATGTCGCTGTGGCTATGGAAGTTGATGGTGTCGATTCCAATGTCGTGGATGTGCAACAGTCGCCCGAGGAGTTGCTGGAAGGGATGAGAGATCACTATCTACAGGCTCTCTACGTTTCAAAAGTGATATGTTCTACTCGATATTGGGGCGTTGTCCTACTAACATTTTCTAGACTTCTGTGGCGTACTTTGCGAAGGGCCCGTTGACACGCTGCCGGACTGCTTTCCAGGCTCGTGACTCGGAACAGCCTCGCGGCTCGACGGAGCTGATTGAATCTTACCGTGAGGCTATCCTCGCTACGAAGAAAATGGACCTCAAATACAGAGAAACGTTGCCATCGGCGATTCGCGATGCAGTTCTTGCGCTTTCCGACGATGGCGCGAAATCTAAGAAGCGGAAGAGTAAGAAAAAGAAGATGGGCAAGAACGGTCTTTACCCAGAGGAGGAAGGATTCATCCACAGGTGGTGGAAGGACAGAATCTTAAATGAGTCTCCTGCGCAGGAAACGTCGCGTGAAGCAGAGTCTAAGAAACAGATTTCGGATCTCCGGCTCCGCGAGACACAATTGCAGATCCTGTTGATCTTGGAGGTCATGGTGTTGGAAATGGCCATTGCTTCGGCAGAGAAAAACAGCAATAACAAGGAGAAAGATGTAAATGGGGAGCAAGACACATCGAAGAAAGCGAAGCCTAAAAGATCTACGGATTTGAATGTGCTGCTTGAACTCCATCTCGATCGGATGTGCATCTGGCACGCCGTGACAATGGAAGAAACGTCTGCCGCTGATACAGCAAAGGCTTCTTCTTTCAGCGGCAGCCATCTTTCAGGCAAGAAAGTCGAGAGCGATGCGGTGCGTGACTTCTGCACGGAAGTCATCATTCCATTCTATGCTGCGCGTCTTCCAGACAAATGCAAATTGATCACCCGCAAATTCGGCGTATCTGGCGGTGTCTCCCCAGCTGCTAAGAAGACACAATCTTCGAGTAAATCACACCGCATGGAACCCGGGGCGGATGTCAAGCGACAACAGCCTGCACCGAAGCCCCGACGCACATTGCAGCGAGTCCTTACGGACGATAAAGCGGCAGCGTCCCAGGCTCGGCACCCGGGACTGACTCGATCAAACACCGCACCGAGCCAGCATATGGCGAAGCGCGACACTGAGCCCTTGTTGCCCACTGTTCTCAGTGGCAGTGTCCGGGGTGGCATCCAGAAAGCAAAACGCACGGAAAACCGCGAGGTTGATCTTAACGCCGTAGCACGACAACACGAGGCCAAATTGAGAAAGGTTCAAATGCTGGCCAACCAGAAGAAAGAGCTGGATGCTGCTATTCACGCGCTTCGGAAGCCGAATAGAGAGCTCGTCTCCAAGGATCTGGCAGATGATGCGTCAAAACGGGCTATAAGTGGTGGAGGCAGTTCAAGAAAGTCAAGAAACCCCGTGCGCAATCCGTTCGGCGAAGGGGTGCAGGTCATGGCGACTCCTCGAGGCAATCGAAGGAAGGATGCGGTCCCTCGTAGTTTGGTGCCATCCCGGTCATTTGCCGGTGTGGAAAATTCTCCTTTCGGCGAGTCTCCTATAATGATTCCATCCTCAAGTCGACGGGCGATCTCATTCTCTGGCGCAGACTCCGACCCTTTCAATTCTCACGACAATCCACGCGATGGACGAAGTCCACGATCAAGTCAACCCGACGGATCCATTCAAGAAACTCCAACTAGGCCATCTTCCAGAATTTTTCAGAGTGATACCATAGCTGCCCGTCGGCCACCATCCTCCACTGGCAAAGGCCTGTTCAGGGTGCCCAACCTCCCAGCTCCTCGCTCATCCACACAGCCAATGGTTCCAGGCTCCCCCATCCATTCACACCGTAACAATGTCTCCGCCTTTACGGAAAGCTTGTCGACATCAACTCGACAATTCAGCCAGTCTCTCAACCACGCTCGCACCTCGGCAATCATGGAGACACCGCCCAGGAGACAGGCACCGCAGAGTATATCTACACCCACTGCTGTGCCGTTTTCTCTGTCGCTTGATGCCATGGTCACCGATAGTTCTCGCGCTCACTCCCCACCTGCCGTCATGGGAACCCCCGTCAAAGGTGCCGCACCTGTGCCCGTAACGCCCGACAAATCCCAATCCAAGACGATATACGAGCAGCTGGGCTGGGATGACGAGATGGAATTCTAATTTCCTAATTTCCTATGCATACACGCCCGAATCATATCGTCGTCATGTGTCATGCATTCATCGGAGTTGTTCTGTGCTTGCTTTTGCTTTGCTGTGTGTTCTTTTCTCCATTCTTTCTGTTTTATTTGTACTGGTGTTCGGGTACACGTGGCCGGAGTTTGAGACGGCTGAAGCACTGGCGTGGCGTGCATTGTTGAATTCTTTTTGGATATATCCCAATCACTGCATTATCTTAGCTTTCTCCTACTCATAAGCATAGAATACATTCTATCCATATCCCACAACAAAGGGAAAGTTGAACATGCCGTAGTATTGTTCACTGGGGACTTAGATCCATGTAAGTACCTATATTGTACATTTATTGTGATTATAGGTACAATCTACCTGAAACATGAGCCAAGGTGTATGATTCTAAGCCAGCACATTCAGCTTCCGCTGGAAGGTTATGAGTTTATATTGTAATATTGGTGACGGTAAGGCTACCGCCTCGGGAAGCGATCGGCTCCCGGAGCCCAGACTGAGTTAGTCACCCCGCCGCCCTGAGCAGCCCACTGAGCGGGCCTGAGTTGCTCCCTGAGCACCTTGAGCGCTCACCCCTGACTAGCCCCTTTCATTCCTAATCTTGTTTTCTGGCCTTTTACCACCTTTTACCTGCTCCGATGGTAACCGCGCTGCAGCCTACTCGCTCCTAGGACCCTAGGTCAGCAGATGACGTAGTCTCGAGGCTGTAATAACGCGCCCTACTTTCCTAACGTCGATTGACTCGATTCCTTTAATCCTGCCTAAGAATGTGAAAATATCTCGTCCCTACGTTCTCTTCCACTTACTCTCTTAATGCTAGCCTGGCTCCTAGTAAGCGAAGCTTCGTAAGGAAATTCTCTAAAATTCTCTTTGTATTGATCTTCCTTGCTTAATATCCTATGCTAGATCCTAGGAACAATATTCGCCTCCTCCCTAGAGAACATATTTTTATATTTTTAGAGAGCTCTAGAATAGGTCTAGAACACTTCGCTGCACCGCGTGACGCAAAACGGCGACTTAAAGCGCCAGATCTAGTATGGCCTCGAGCAAGAGACCCGCTAGAGCGTGAATGAATTAAGCTAGACTCCTAGGAACTCGCTCTATGGCTATAGCTTCCGGCGAATTTGCTTAGAGAGAGCCAGAAAGCCTCCCTATCCGGTTCGAGATGGCCTTGGTCTTCGATAAGATCTTCATTTTCGGCCACGTCGTCTTCCTCACATTGCCATAGGAATTTGATGGCATCTTTTTCTTGGGTAATATAACGCCGGCTCCGCCTCAATAAAGCATTCGTTGACATCTATCATATAAACTAGGTATGTAATCTGTCTTAGTATAGGATCTCGATGGAGGCGGTAAAGCAAATGATTAGACCTTGACATTTCCCATGGGACTACAAACAATGCAAACAGGGAGAAACTCGTGACTTGCATAATTGTACGGCTTTATGCTGGTTTTTTAAGGTATTGGTCTAGTGGTTATGGCGATGTCTAGGCGACACCAAACGCCTACCAAGTTTATAAACACGGTCAGAGCACGGTCAGAAAACGTGATAAAATAAAGCTTTAAGCATATAAGTAATTTCTGGCTAGTTAGAAA